CACTTAGGTGGCCTAGTATCTTGAATCTTCAGAATTCGCTCAAACTTTGTCTACAGGAGTTGATTGACATGCTCATTATGGATATGTTGCCCATTATGTTTGACAGGGCCTCCAAGTAATGCTATGTTGAGGGAGTCCAGGGGGGGGTCTTATTAAGACAGCAATCAGGGGGGGGGTCGTAACCAGCGATCGTGTGGCACACCCCTTGCTTGACCCTGCTTACGATTAACGATTATTATCCGACAGATCTCTTCCTAAACAGAGTTAACTAAGACTACATTTGTAGTGTAGGTATGCATTTTCTGCAGTGTAAATGCTTCTCAAATGAAGAATTTCGTCAACATTTACAGAATGCCCACCTTTGCAAAGTATTCGCCACTAATCTACGAGCGAGACTACATTCTCTGGCATACTCTTCTTTCCCATTTTCAATTTGAAATTTGGCGGAAAATCATGGAAAATTGGTGGTTAAGAGGGATTTTTGCTTGGCAAAGTATCAGTTAACTTTGAAATCTTACAGAAAAGCCCTCTTTTTTGACAAAAAAAATGAAAATGCACCGCCAAGAATCTTGCAGATAAGTCCCACCATCAGATTAGCCCGTCTACAGATAAGTCCGGACATATCTGACAGTCTTCGGACTTTTCTGACAAGACTTCAAGGTAGTTATAATGGGAAAAAAACGGATTTATATGTAGGCGGGCTTATCTGAAGGGCCTTAATTGAGTCAGAAAAGCGGACCTATCTAAATGCGGACTTATCTGTAGACGGACTTAGGTAATGGAAGAATTTATTCATGAAATTTTAGGGCAATCTGCTAGCGGACCACAGTCTAATGGCATGGTCTTTTTTCTCAAAAAAACATTTTCTTCAAAGTAAATTGTCTTCAAATGAGATTTTCGCCGAAATCCACGGAGAGTGGGTGGTAACGAGTGACTTTCTCAAAAGAATGCTCTCTTTCGCAATGTATCGACTACAAATCAAAGCAGGAAATGGTCAGAACTTAATACACCCATGCCGATGCAAACATGCTATATTGTATCGGACTCGCCTTGAAACGCTGATCACAAATATATGTTTAACATCGCCGAACGATTATCTGGAGGAGTGATGAGCGTTCAAATGTGCGATTTACGAAATGTTCTGCGGCGCATGTTCCACGAAATACGTTAAATACGTTTTTAAAACACTTGTTAGTGGTGAATATGCTGCCTTCCTTGTAATCAGATAACAATACCCACTGTAATGACATCAAGCTGCCTTCAAAGGAGACACATTCGTTGACGTTTCGTTGACACTTTCGCCTTTAAGTTTACTGATTCCATCTGACCCTTATAAGGGCAATGGCTGTCCCAATAGTGTGAGTGTCGCCCAGGCAATGACATGATCGGAGTCCAATGAAGGCCAAATTTTATCTGATACACCGTCAGCTTCTTGAATTATTGCCAATCTGTATTTGGTTTTGATTACTTCACATACCTTCAAGTTCATGGAGTATGTCCCTCCAGTTCGTCTCACTAATTTCCCGTATCCGCCTAATCTGATGGTATCATCAGCTTCCAGATTCGTGTGGAGGTGGTCTTGCCAACTCAAGCGTTGCGGTTTTTGCTAGCGAGAGATTACGAAAAGCAATGCTATGACGTGGAGGTTTAACAAGTTCATCCCTGTTATCAGGCAAAGTCTGCAATACACCTCCACACGAATCTGGGAGCCGATTATATAAGGCTGCATTCGTGGCTTGCTCATGCAAGAAAGACTTTGTTTTCAAAGTGCTAGAACGATATAATCAAAAGCAGCTGTTTGCAGCTCAAAGCAGCTGAGATACGCTCAGAAAAAGTGAGCGTAAGGCTTGATACATACCTGACGTTGGGTGTCTATACGTAGCGATGGCAGCAACGCAGTTCGTGCGTATCGATTGCAGCGGAGTGACGCTGCTGCATCCCGCTGTAGCAGCTAGCGCGAAGTCGTGTCCATACTTAGCAAGTCATTTTTGACCAGCGCTGCACAGCGCTGCTCAAGCTGATCAACGCTGCAACGAGATTTTGCAGCAGAATTACGCTCAGTTTTTCTGAGCGTATCTCAGCTGCTTTGAGCTGCTTTTGTATGGATATTAAGCAGCCAAAGCAGCGCTGGCTTTGCCAAAGCAGCGCTGCCTTCGCTGCTCGCTGTTCTTGTCCATACCTAAGCAGCGAGGTATGTATCAAGCCTAACTCAGCTGCAAGATCTAGTTGCAGCGCTGATCAGCTTGAGCAGCGCTGCTCAAAAATGACTCGCTAGGTATGAGAAGAACTTAAATACTGCGAAATGGCCGTTGTCATTGGAGCGCGTTTTCGACCTGGGACTTGAATTTCGCCTGGATTCCGCTTACGAAGGTAGGAAAAGGGCCCTTTATGGAGTGTTTACTGCATACATATGGTAGTTCCCGACCTGAGATGAGGATTTCTCCAACATGCTGTTTACGATTGTGATATCATGCGGTGGAATAGTGATCTTCCTCAGTTAAAGTGAAGCATGCTTTAGATCCAACGCGACTTCCAAAGGATAGTCAAGGATAATCAAGGTGAGGGAAAAATAGTCTGACACTGCAAATTTAACATGATATTTGTGAACAGTTTGTCATATAAGACCCTACCCTTTGCGAAACCGAAATCTGAGATTATAAATTTCTGTGTTGTATAATATAAAGTGGAAGAGTGTCGCTCATTCTTTCGAAGTCATTCGTGTAAACGCTTCCTAGTTTAGTGATGGGTTTATTCACCACATTTTCCTGTCTGCATAGAATTGCTGAATGGATCACCGAACATGCGTTTACTTTGGTTTTCTATTATTCAAATCGAACAACAAACGGAACGGTCAGAAACAGACAGAACACGTCCTAGAATATGATAGATGGCATGAAGTAAAGCACCTGATCTACAATAACTGATAACGTAGCAAGTCGTGTCCACAAACATAATGAGTACGTTCAACCTAGAAAAAAGAACAACTCAGAGCCTAATAAATCATGGCAGTGTGGTACGTTGAAAAGATGATGACGCAAACGTTCGATATAAGTGAATAAACTGAAAGTAGAGAAAATTTTAACATGTCGAAGTTCTAGGCAACAACATTTTCGTTATGATCAACACTCCTTGGGTCGCATCTTTCATAGTGCTTGCGAAGTGCTGCGGCGTTTGACCCTATGTATTTGCAATCCTTTTCAATGCAGGGAAAGTAAGCTAGATCCGGCTCCAAATCGCCTCCGTTCATTTCATGCCTAAAGGATTGAGCTGAGAAAGCAAGGAAATCTTTGTAACAGAGACACCAACACTACGGTGCGTCCAGCAGCATTTGTTGTAACCATCGAAGACTCGTCAATATGCTGGATTCACTCGTTGATGGGAAACTAGAAAGAAAAAGCGCTGGACGACCTTCTGAGATAGATAAACACAAAGTTTTGAAGATGAAGGGAATACAAATACAAACTGGGCGCTGTTCCATATCAGGGCCCCAATATCCAAGGAGTATATTTGGCCCAAACTCAGTCCATGGGGGCTATCGCCTACTGACCACGAATATCGACTTTTGGACAACATCATCACTTTCGGTGGTTACGATGGGGACGCTGGGGGCTCAACTACATTTGGCTAATCCTTGTTTGGGAGGATTGTTCGACATTATCATGGATACCCACGTTTTCTGCTCAACCACCATCCTTGGTGGTGAGGGTAGCTTTATCGTAAGCAATAAAGTCAGAAACTTGGACAAAACAACAACAACAAAGTTTTGAACAAAAATTCCGGAATATCGAAGTTTGATTACAACCGAGTTTCAGCAGTGATAAGCAGAAATTCGGTTTCGAGTTCATTCAACTTGCTTTTTTTTTCAACAACGTTGTTTTTCAAAAAGGATAAAACAATCTAGCATGTAAGAATGGGGTTAGGTGATGTAAAATCGAAAGTGAGTCGAGAACACGAACTCCTAATTGAGCCTCCCATCGTACACCCATCGTAAACACCCAGTGACGTTTTCAAAGCATAATGTTTCGACCAGCATGGTCAACACTCCCGACAAACTGAGCAAGAGCGCCGAGAACTGGCCATGTCTTACCACTTCCTCAACAAAAAGACTAATGAACATACCAGTAGTATCTGATGCTCTCGTCCAGCTTGTTTTTTTTCCACGTTTAGTCGATCCGACAGAGAAACGCCGCTTCCACCAGACATTTTTTCACAAGAATTGCACTCTGGAAAGTGAACAATATGAAACAATCACAGAATGACAAATAACGAGCAAAACCGAGACAGTACAGAACATCTAAAAGAGGAAAGGTCCACGATTCAAGCAAGAAAAGAACACATGTTACGAAAATGGAGCACAGCGCTAAGTTCTGAGATGAAAACGCGCTTCAATGACAACGGCCATTTCGCAGTATTTAAGTTCTTCTCTAGGTATGAACGCTTTTGACGCTACGTATAGACACCCAACGCCAGGTATGTATCAAGCCTTAGGTTCGCGGACGCCTTCGCGCTCGGCGTCGAACTAAATGCATTTCGATTTCTCAAATTCTTCGCATTGCGAGCAAACTGCCAACATTTTGGGCGTAGCTATCTGTTCATGAGCAAATTTTACCGCAAGCTCTCGGCACTGCAAAGGGGGAATGGTCAGGAGGTACGGTCGATGCGAATTTTTCGCGAAGCTACGCCACAACCTACTTTAACAAATACAGTATCCGGCCGCGATGTTATTGATGGACTCGAGTCGCGTATTCGACCACCCCACCTCCGTTTTTGCCGCTGGAAACCTCTAACAGCGGAAAGCTCAGTGGCTCCCAAGGTTTGGACGGCCGCAGAGCGGCCTCCGCGCGCGGCGTACTGCCTGACTTGCAGCTCCGCAAAGGCACTATACGACAAATTTAATCGGCTGTACTAGGGTTAGCACATTTTTGGGGAGCAAGTATAGAACAGTGAAGAGTTCAGACTTCGTCGTGCACTTCGAGCGGATATGCAGGACGCTATGTTATGGCATGAAGGTTTTCGCGGCCCAAAATTCAAGCTTCTATATCAACCGATATTCAAAATGTGCGATATAGTTGGACTGAAGACTTACGACGGTCTAGAGAGCAGTAGATGTAAGGACAACGAGATAAAATATTTTTATTCCCAAACCCATTCACAGATGGATTCGCCTTCTCCCAAGATGATGGACTTGCCGTAACGCAAACGGATCTTCTTCAAGGATGCTCGGAGGACGATACTGCCACAATTCATACTGCAGGCATAGACATATCCAATGAGCAAGTACAGTCAGAAAGAAATCAATGATCAACAAAATGTTGGTGATTTTTAAGGCCTCTTCCGTGAAACCAGTTGAAAGATCAGTGGATGATAGAACCGTGGAGAGCTCAGCATCATGTAGATCACCACTGGCTTCAGCGGATGTGAAAATAAACACGCACCCAAAGTAACACATTTTCAGAGAAGTGCTTCGTCAATCTTTTCAATAAAAAAAAGAACACATATTCAAATTGGACATTCCTAAAATCTATAAATTCTTTTGTGATTACATATGTGGTCAAAGTCATCGAAGAATTGCGAAGGTATCATACCACGAACAAATTTTTGCGATCGTGTTGACAAAGACAACAGGCGGCAGCAAAAAAAGTGCTCATGATCGGAGAGATGTCGACAGCGCCTGCAGCAGCGCCCCGTCTCTGCATGTAATGCATGTAATGCATGTAATGCATTCGCTTACACAAGGGTATGGATTGATAATACATCAGCAAAAGTTTGTAATGGATATTTGAAGGTGAAGTGTTCTGCTGAGTTATATCAGCTGATCTCTTTTTAAAGATTGTACGCGTGGCGAAAAAATCAGGATCATGGTAGTTGTTGTGTCCTCCGCGTCGGACACGTCGACTCTTCGTCCTGAGGTAGCACGCGAGGAACAAAGAGTATTTATTAGATAATAATAGAACAGTTAAAGATAAGAGAGGCAGATGAGTGAACAGACGAACTGACTATGGCTAACAGCAAGCGCCTTTTATAGCGCTCATTTCCCGCGCATTGAGGTCGCAGGCGCCTCAGCGAGGGCAGATCATACGAGAAAATAACTGATCAGACACTAACACAACACCTCCCCCAGTAGGGTAGTTACAACAAAACTAGCCTAAGAGAAAAACATGAACTACAAATACGAAAAGCTAAGAAATCGATTACACATAGATATCACTATCTTTTAAACAACTACAAATCTAATGAAACAAACATACGATAACATTCTATGGACTAGGTTGGAACCGTTGTACCGGTCTTCTCGTTCTGCTCGATCTCCGAAGCGTTGGCTGTGGCGTGGAGGGCTCGTGACTTGATGGCGACGTCGATGTCGTTGAATCCACGGGTACTGGCACATCGCTCGCGATTTGCTCAGAACTCCCTTCAGCAGCATTGCCATTCCTCGATAGTGTGTCGTCTTCTGTCAGAACATCCAACAGTATCTTCAAGGCTTCGAACTGTTGTTTGAGTTGCTGTTGGACTGCAAGCTGTTCGCTGTCGCTTCGGTGACGTAGTTGATTTGCGTGCTTCTTGCAGATTTCATTTCCAACCATTACTTCATAGTTGACGCGTCCAATACGTCTCATCACTGTTCCTTTCATCCAATGGAAGTGGGGTGGCTTCCACTGCTTGGCATATACCAGGTCACCAACTTCGAAATCTTTTCGAACGACTCCATGCTTCTGGTCAAACTGGTCCTTCATGCGCTCTCGTCTTCTTCGTGCGAGTGGGTCTTCTGCATCTTCTGTCATCGGTAATAACAGACTTAATTTTGTGCGCAAGTTTCTGCCGAGAAACAATTCTGCTGGCGTCTTGTCGTTCAAGTTCGTGTTTGGTGTTGTCCTGTACGCTTGTAACACCACATTCAGAGTCTCTTCTGTTGACCTCTCCTCCCCCTCTAGTTTCTTGATTCCGCGTTTCAGCGTATCAACGAAACGCTCTGCCTGTCCATTCGATTGAGGGTGGTACGGAGCAGTCCTTATATGCGTGATTCCACCTTCGTCACACATCCTCTTGAATAAATCCGATGTGAACTGGGTACCATTGTCGCTCACTATTGTTTGCGGTAATCCATACCTTGCAAACAAGTTCTTCAGAGCCTTCACCGTCTTCGCAGCCGAGATATTGCTCATCTCGATCATTTCAGGCCATTTGCTGTAGGCATCTACCACGACCAAGTAGAAGACTCCTTGCATGGGTCCAGCAAAGTCGATGTGTATCCTCTGCCACACTCGAGTCGCGGATGTCCATGCTTCTAATGGTACTTTCGTCGGATTCTTGGCTAATTCCTGACATTTCGTACATCTTCGTACCAAGTCTTCGCAATCTTTGTCGATATTCGGCCAGTAGACGTAACTTCGAGCCAGTTTCTTCATCCTTACTATCCCTGGATGTCCAAAATGCAGTTCTTTCAGCACATTTCCTCGAAGCTCCTTAGGTATCACAACCCTTTCGGCTGACATCAGACATTGCTCCACGATTGACAATGTCTCTCTTCGATTTCGAAAATGTGCGAATTCTTCATTCACTTCTGGCCAATTTCCTTTCTGCACATAAGTGAGCACTCTTCTAAGTACTGGATCTTTCTTCGTCCAAGTTTGTACATCAGATACCGTTACTGGCAGTTTCCTTATGCAGCTCTTCAGCATGTAGCCAACGTCGTTCTCAACGGCAGCTATCACGACATCTTCTTCGAGATTCTGATTCTTCTTCATCAACCTTGACAAGCCATCTGCTTGTCCAAACTTCGTTGTTTTGACATATTCTATGTCGAAGTCATATCCAAGTAGAATTGTAGCCCATCTCATGAGTCGGTTTGCAGAGTAGACTGGAACTCCCTTTTTATCACCGAAGATGGCTAACAGTGGTTGATGGTCCGTCAGTAGCAGAAACTTTCGTCCGAATATGTACTTGTGGAATTTTTTGACAGCAAAGGCAATTCCCAATGCTTCCTTTTCGATCTGCGAATAGTTCTTCTTCGCTTTCGTAAGAGACCGCGATGCATGTGCAATTGGCTTTTCGGATCCATCGGCATATCTGTGCGATATTACGCATCCAATTCCATAATCGCTGGCGTCCGCTGCCACGACGATCTTCTGTCTTGGATCATAGTGAGCGAGATTGAGCTCACTTGACAATGTATCCTTGAGCTTTTCGAAGGCTTCTTGATGTGTTCGTGTCCATTCCCACTTGGCATCTTTCTTGAGCATCGCGTCCAATGGCCCACGAAGATCCTTGATCTTTGGCATAAACGCTGCATAGTACGTTATCATGCCAAGAAAAGCTCTCAAATGATTAACGTTCTTCGGCTCATTCATCTTCTTGATTGCTTCGATCTTCTCTGAGTTTGGCCTTCTGCCATTTCGGTCTACTATGAAGCCAAGATATCGTATCTCTGGCTTGCCAAGGAACACTTCTCTAAGCGAATCCTGAATCCGTATTCAGCGATCCTTGCAAATACAGCTAACAAGTTCTCCATGTGTTCCTCTTCGGTTCTTCCACAGACCAAGATGTCGTCTAAGTAGGTTGCTACCCCTCGCAATCCGCTCACCATCTTATTCATTATCTGTTGGAAGATTCCTGGTGCCGTCTTTATGCCAAAAGGCAACCTATTGTACTGGTACAAGCCTCTATGCGTATTTATTACAACCATTTTCTTCGCTTCTTCTGACAATTCGATCTGCAGGTAGGCGTCCGAGAGATCTATCTGCGAAAACACGGTGCCTCCATTGAGTGATGCGAATATGTCCTCCGGCAATGGCAGCGGATAATCATAAGACTCCAACGCTTTGTTGAGTCCGGTTGAGAAATCAGCACACAATCTTAACTTTCCATTCGCTTTCCTGACGCATACGATAGGAGCTGCCCATTCGCTGTGTGTCACTGGGCTTATGACTTTCAATTCCAATAGTCTATCCAGCTCGTTTTCGACAGCTTCGAGTGCAGCATGGGGGACAGGCCTGCAAGCCTTGAACACTGGGCGAACGTTTTCGTTAACTCTCAAGTGCGCTTTCTCTTTTGTGCAGAGTCCTAGACCTTCTTCGCAGACTTCTGGGTAGGTTTTCTTTAGCTTCGTAGCGATGTCGCTGGTTTGCTCTGCCTTCACTTCGGCAACCATTCTGCTTAAGTGATAGGACATATCTTCGTTTTTCTGGATCCACTCTAATCCTAGCAGTGAGTTGTGGGGCGTCACGTATGCGTAGCCTTCGCTTCTGGATCCTTTGATTTCGTACTCACACCATAGCTTTCCATGGACTTTCGTGAAGCCTCCACTAGCGTTCTTGACAACCACGTTCGTCTCTTCCAAACGATGAGCACCCATGCTCTTCCAAATTGATTCGTTCAATAGCGTAATGTCTGATCCAGTATCTAGCGGAAAACTAACTGGATGACTATTCACTCTTGCTTCGATATACATGCGCGTCGAGTTGACATCCACCATCGCATTTGCAATCTTCGCTACGCTGTGCACATGGCGTTTTGGTTTCGTCCAACTTCTGTTCTTACTGGTGTCGCTGCTTCTGTGGATTCTTCGTTTCGAATCTTGCTGAACAAGTGCTTTTCTCTCCGCCACTTGTTCGCAATACTTCTCCTTGTGGCCTGTCTTCTTGCACTTCTTGCAATACCACAGCTTCGCTTTGCATTCCCTGGCAAAGTGAGGTTTACCACAGTTCCAACATTCCAGCTTCTTGGGTTCTTCCTTGCTTGTTGCTTCGACAGTCTTCGTGCAACCAGCCACAGTCTCGCTATCCTTCTTGAGACTAAGGAAGTTTTCGCACTCCAGGTACAATTCCTGTGGCGACATCTTTCGTCCAGCCTTGTACTCCTTGTCCAGTACGGCTATGAGTCGCTGCCTGATTTCGGCTTCTTTTTGGCTCTTCAGGCCAAAAATCCATAGCAGGCATTTGATCCCGTCGCTGTCGAGGTCGTGGATCTTCGCCTTTTCGCACAGTTCGTTCACTCGACCGGTATACATGAGGTAGTCTTCGGAATCCGCCTTTTCCAGCTTCAAACACTGGTACCTCATGGTAAATTCGGAAATTTTCACGTCGAACAGTTGCTTCAATGTTTCGACAGTTTCTTCGAATTTGATGGCGGTTACCTCTTTCGGTAGCACATGCCTCTGATATTTTTCGAAACAATCCTTGTCCAGTTTTTCGCATAACAGCCTCACCCTGGCGCTCTCCGTGAGCTGCTTCGCGTCTTCAACAAAGACTTCCTTGTAGCGAGCGTACCATCTGCTGAAGCACATATCCGCCTCGGGGTCGAAGGAGAACTTTTCGATCCTGTTGCTGAGCGCGGACATCATATTCGGAATTTCGTTTGAGGTACTGCTTCGTTCAGTACCTGTGATGTGTTTCAGAAGCTCCATCATTTCTCTTCGTTCCTCTCTCATCTCCTGGAGCAGGACCAG